TCTGTTCCTGTGTTTTGCCAAAAGCATCTGCAGATTCAGTCTTATAACTCTTCTATATAATAGTCCTTGCAGTTACCTTCCCCTCTTTGTCTGTTCTCCGTGTACTCTGTGACAGTTTATTGTTTGTGTTTGTTCTGTGAAGAGGTAGATGAGGTGGGGAGGGGAGATGGGAGGTGGTTGGATGAGGAGTATTAGACATGGAGAAGTATGAAGCGGGAAGTAGTGGTAGATGAGAATAGAAGATTGGTGTGGGTCTGATTCTATGGAGTACTTTTAGTTGAATTGAAGGGTTAGTATTTATAGAGAGCCCTTCCTAGTTCTTGTCACAGCCCAGGAAGCTTACTTTGTAATCCCATGAATAGTTATTGGAATTTTAGTGAGTTAATTCCAGTCTACCACTTCCAGTGCAACCCATGGCAAGAATAAAGACACTAAGGCATATCTGTAGTTACGGGGATCCCAGGGGCCCTAAATCCAGCCATGATGATGGCCATCTGGAACAAAGGCCCCAACCCAAGGCCGAACCTGGGTTTTATTAATTCAGGAAGAAAGGAGTGGCATGAGGGTGAGTGACTGTGAGAATGGTGGGAAGTAGGTGAGTGCTGTGAGCTGGGCTAGGTAGGAGGCCTGAAACCACCTCTGCAATATGCAGAGAGAAGGATATGCAGAAAGAATAATCTGCATGGCACAAGTGAGGTAGTATCAAATATTTTGGGGTCGGTGCTTGAGCTCTGATGTGTAATATTTCAAGCCCCTGGAAGTCATAGCCTTTCACTCGAGGTTCAATCCCAGCACACAGTGAGGGGGTCCAGGGAAACACCGCCTGCCATCTTCAGAGGCTGCCATCAGCACCTCGGCTGGACTGACATGCATTGCTTAAAGCCAGCTGAAGGGATAAGGAAAAGTCCTGGCCAGCTCTGTACGTCAGTACATGGGAACAGGGCCAGGTTCAGCCAAAATGGAGGTAATTGCTCCTCCTTCAAGGAGTTGCTGAGGTGGTCCTCCACAAGTATTGAGAGTTTTCATAGGGCATTTTGTGGGGACGAGGGCAAGATATGCAAGAAGGTGTTTACTTTATAATAGAGGAAAGTTTTGTGGTTTTTCAGAACTTTCTTTTTTTTGTTGTTTTTTTTTTTCCCGTACCGGGAACCGAACTCACGACCTTGTGCTTGCCAGGCAGGCGCTTTGCCGCTGAGCTAAATCCCCAGCCCCAGAACTTTCCAATAGTATAGTAAGCTGGGGAAAATACAGAACCATCAAAAGTTTAGGATGGGGAAGATTGAGGAATAATGCAAAGGAGTGACTGTGAGGGAGCTAAGTACAGGGAATTTAAAAACTTGGAGGAGCTTACATGTTTGGCAAAAGAATAAAGATGTATGTTAATAATGTTTTCTTGGGTACAGGGTGAAGAGACTGGATAGCAAGCTGACATGAGAGAGAACCTAGATACCTATTAAATCAGAGCCAATGAAAGAACAAACACACAAAAGTAACAAACCTAATAAACACAGGAAACCGTAAAGGACAGAACATAACCCCACATTACTAAATAAATCAAGAAACATACAGAAACTTAAACCTACAAGATATCTGATGGGGCCATACATTATTCCAGTGAAACACTGCGTATGTGATTCCCAAAAAGCTTCTTTGCCATAGAGTCTGAGTGCTCA